CGACGTACGTACGTACGTACGTACGTACGTACGTCGTCGTGTGTCGTGTGTGTTGTGTGTGTGTGTTGTGTGTGTGTGGCGAGTCGAGAGAGAGAGAGAGAGAGAGAGAGAGAGAGAGAGAGAGAGAGAGAGTTTGTTAATGTTATTTATGTGATCGTATCCGTGTTCTGCTGTTAATATGGAGCAGGTGTTGAATGCTGCGTGGGATGTGGGTATACCAGTGGCAAGTGAGAATGCACTGCCCTGCTACGACAGAGAAGGGTATAACAAGGTACTGGAGAATGCCAAGCCTGCCCACGACCCTGACGGGAGGCACCTCTCTGCCTTCACGTACCTCAGGCTCTCGCCTGCCCTCATGGAGAGGCAAAACTTCTTGGAGTTTGAACGCTTTGTAAAAAGAATGCATGGTAACCCCTCTCTCAAATAGCATTCATGGTCCTCTCTCTAGTGCATGGTGATTTCTATCCAAGAGGTTGAAGTGTGGTGTGATCCATAATTGAAATGATCATGGTAACATTGTGCTCATGAGGGTTATCTCCATTCTATAGATGATTTACATGGTGTGGTGGAAAGATTGTGGGACATAAAATTGAGTTAGTGGCATGTTTGATGGGACCCACCCTCTCCATCACTGTTGAACCTCTTAATGGAATGGAGAGCACCCTCATGACCATCGCAGTAATGTGATCGTATGTATCATAGTATGCTTCTCCTTTGAGAGAGAATTGAGGCTGAGAAGACCTACATACTGATGCCCTCTTTCTCTCGCCTAAGAAGACCTCATACCCTACATATGTGGTGTATGGTATGTGCTCGTCCGCTGAGATGTCCAGTCTCTCTCCTAAGAAGACCTCATACCCTATATATGTGGTGTATGGTATGTGCTCGTCTGCTGAGATGTCCAGTTATATGGCATATGCTGCACTGCTGGGACATCTACTGTCCTCTAGGATTTATTGTGGAGACTGGAGACTAACAGTAGCTCATGATGATGGACCTTTGGATCGCGGTTGATCACTTACTTCCATTGATAGGAATGAAGGGTGATCAACCCTGTGGTGCAGCATATAGTCTATACTTCAATGTAGTATGGTATTTGGTATTTGTTTCCTAAAATTATACGTGGTTAGCAGTCTCTCTCTCTCTCTCACACACACACTAGCAATTGATCATGTGTCCATCTTTATATTTTTTGGCAGGTGAAGCAGTTCCGGATCCGCAATTATAGCAATGGAGACTTTTTTGCCATGGTTTTCACAAGAGGCTTTTCCCTTTTTTCGATCGCCTCGACTCTTTTCCATTGTATAGAAAAATTTCCACCAAGTATGTTCCTTTTTTCCTTTGCCTTAGATGCAATACAAGTTTCTGATTGAGTCCGCAATTTAACGAAGCTCAGATCTATTAACATAGGGAAAGAGGGATTAAGGATTGGAAAATGATTAAGGAAGTTTTGTTCAGTAAGAGAGGGTGATATTGGTTAGGTTTTCCAGTGAGTGTTTCTCCAAGCTTTGTCTCTTACCTTTTTTTTTTTTGAACCGATGACCAAGCCTTGTCTCTACCTTGTGCGTATAGAAATATTGAGAGATGAAAATGGTTCAAGAATCTTTTGAGACCCTGTTTGACCCCAATCCCAAGTTTGGATTTTTGATGAACCTATGTGATTGTTTTGGGGGATTTTGATTTCCAAAAAAAAAAAAGAAGAAAAAATCGAATTTTCAAAACTTGTGCTTTTGGAGAATTGAGTTTTGGCCCCAAATTCTTTTAAAAGAAATATGGAATGGATCCTTGAGCTGCAGCCTGTGCAAATATGGAACCCCATGATTTCCTTTCTATATCATCTCTCAACCTATTGAAGAGCTTTCTCTTTCTACCCTGCAAATCGCCTAAGTGAACCTCTGTCTCGAACTCCCTCTTTGAGTTTTGTGCATATCCTAGGGTATGTGTTATTTGCTTCCTATTGTAGGTACTTGTTTTATGTACTTTCTCTCCTATTTTGGTTGGTGATTTGATCTTTTTGCTAGTATTTTTCTTTTGGGATTGTATATTATGAGGCCGTTTATTTTTTATATAAGGAAGTCACTGTTACTTTGAGTTATTGGATGTAAAATATAATAGATGAAAGTGTGTCATAACATTTGAGAAATTTTATTTTAGATTTTGTCCTCAAACAATAATATATTGTCAACCATCAAATCTTAAATCTAATGGTCAATGATGATTGTGACTTCTTTGTGTTAAAAGTAAATTGTTTCATCACATACATTTCCTTTTCTTTTTGTTTAGGATTTTTCTTGAAATTTTTTTTGTTGTTATTTTGTGGGATATAGATGCATGTATTTGACTGTTTTTATTTGTGTTTATGGACTTTAATTTTTGTAATGTTTCTCTGTTTCACTTTGGGTTTTTCCTTTGCACTGCACGTGGATTTTTTTTCTTGGTTATTGCTTTTCTGTTTCTCTCTAGTTTTGTATATAAATTTTTTTCTCACAATTTTTTTGTTTCTCTCTAGTTTTGTATATAAATTTTTTTCTCACAATTTTTTTGCTATGTTGTTGTGGGGTTTTATTTTTCTTGTGTTTTTTCGGCTTAGTAGTTGGCTTCTTTTTTTTTTTTTCTTCTCATTATATATATATATAAAAGAAAATGCTACAGTGAGCCATGGGCTTATGGAACAGTGTAAGCCCAATAGCCTAGATTGAATCTAGGGCGATCTGACAGTCATGACTGTATATTGGCAATATAATTTTAACATTTTTTATATAGATCCAAATAGCATGAAATTTGGAACATAAACTATTATCATCAAAGCTCACCTAATAAAAATATTAAAAAAATAATTAACATAAAATAAATTGATCAAAATACTATCGGAACTTTTTAGGGGTAATTTGATCAATTTAATTTATACAAATTTTTTTTTATATTTTTTTATTAGATGCGAGTATTCTTGAAGAATAGATGCTCCAAATTTCAAGTAATTTGGATTTATAGAAAACAAAACTAAAATTTAATTACGAAA